TACCTGTCAGATTTATGGAGAACAGAAGAATTGATGACCAAACAGGAGATAGAGAACATTGTGAAATGCCAAATGGATAATTTTGATTACATTACATTGAAAAGTTTTTGCATGAAGCCAATGCAACCGAGATTAGGAGGGAAGCAGAAAACTGGGAAAGAACAACCAGTGTCTCTGACAAGGGCCTCGTTTCTAAAATATATAGAGAACTAAGTCAAATTTGTAAGAATACAAGTCATTGAGACAGCTAGGTGGAGCAGTGGATAGAGCACCGGCCCTGAAGTCAGGAGAACCTGAATTCAAATCTGACCTCAGACCAAACACTTGACATTTACTTAGCTGTGTGACCCTGGGCAAGTCACTTAACCCCAATTGCCTTAAAAAAAAAAGAATACAAGTCATTCCCCAATTGATAAATGGTCAAAGGATATGCACAGGCAGTTCTCAGATGAAGAAATTAAAACCATCTATAGTCATATAAAAAATGCTCTAAATCACTATTGATTAGAGAAATGCAAATCACAACAACTCTGAGGTACCACATTACACCTATCAGATTGGCCAACATGACAAAACAGGAAAATGATAAATGTTGGAGATGAGAAAAGTGGAACACTAATGCACTGTTGGTGGAGTTGTGAAATGATACAACCATTTTGGAGAGCAATTTGGAACTATGCCCAAGAGGCTATAAAAATGTGCATACCCTTTGACCCAACAATAACACTTCTAGGACTATATCCCAAAGAGATCATACAAATGGGAAAAGGACCCACATGTACAAAAAGTTTTATAGCAGCTCTTTTTGTGGTGGCAAAAAGTTGGAAATTGAGGGGATACCCATCAATTGGGGAATGGCTGAACAAGTTGTGGTATATGAATGTAATGGAATACTATTGTGCTTTAAGAAATGATGAGCAGCATTTCTAAAATATACAGAGAATTAAGACAAATTTATAAGAACACAAGCCATTCCCCAATTGATAAATGGTCAAAGGATATGAACAGACAGTTCTCAGATGAAGAAATTAAAGCCATTTACAGTCATATGAAAAAATGCTCTAAATCGTTATTGATTAGAGAAATGCAAATCACAACAACTCTGAGGTACGACATCACACCTATCAGATTGGCCAACATGACAAAACAGGAAAATGATAAATGTTGGAGAGGATGTGGGAAAATTGGAACGCTAATACATTGTTGGTGGAGTTGTGAAATGATCCAACCATTTTGGAGCACAATTTGGAACTATGCCCAAAGGGCTACAAAAATGTGCATACCCTTTGATCCAGCAATAGCACTTCTAGGGCTATATCCCAAAGAGATCAAACAAATGGGAAAAGGACCCATATGTACAAAAATATACATAGCAGCTCTTTTTGTGGTGGAAAAGAATTGGAAATTGAGAGGATGCCCATCAATTGGGGAATGGCTGAGCAAGTTGTGGTATATGAATGTAATGGAATACTATTGTGCTGTAAGAAATGATGAATAGGCTGACTTCAGAAAAACCTGGAAAGACTTGTATGGTCTGATGCTGAGTGAAGTGAGCAGAACCAAGAGGACTTTGTACACAATAACAGCCATGTTATGCAATGACTAAGATTGTTAAACTGAACCTTTCTCAGCATTATGAGGATCTAAGACATTTCCAGAGGCCTCAGGATGGATGATGCTGTTCACATTCAAAGAAAGAACTATGGAAGTTGAATCGCTATCACTTATTTTTACCTTCTGTTGAGTTTTGTTTCATCTTTCTGATGGTTCCTCGTATTGGTTTTAATTTTTACTTACAACTTCACTAATGTGAAAATATGTTTAATGGGTATGTAAATGTAAAGGCTATATCAGATTGTGTGCTGTCTTGGGGAGGGTGGGGGGGGAGGAAAAAGGAGAAAAATTTTCAACTCAAAAGTATATGGAAAAAATAAAAAAAATTTAAATAAAAAAAAAAAGAAATGATGAGCAGGCAGACTTCAGAAAAACCTAGAAAGACTTGTATGGTCTGATGCTCAGTAAAGTGAGCAGAACCAGGAGAATATTGTACGCAGTAATAGCCACCTTGTACAATGACTAATATTGATAGACTTAGTCCTTATCAGCAATGCAAGGAGCTAAGACGTCTCCAAAAGTCTCATGATGGAAAATGCTATCCAAATCCAAAGAAAAAACTATGGAGTTTGAATGCAGATTGAAGCATACTATTTGCTTTTTTCCCTCCTTCTGTTTTGTTTTGTTTCCTCTTTCTTGTGGTCCCTCCTATTGGTTCTAATTCTTTCTTCAGCATGACTAACGTGAAAATGTTAATAGGAATGTTTATGTATAGCCTATATCAGATTTTATGCCCTGGGGAGGGAGGTGGGGAGGGAAAGGTAGAAAAATTTAAAACTCAAAAGCTTATGGAAGTGATTGCTGATAACTCAAAATAAATTAATAAAAAAGAGAAAAAAGAAGAGATCAGGTCCAATGGCCTCAATTTTTTCAGTAAGAAGCAAGATCCTCTGCTGGAGGTAGGGGGGAAGCAGGTCAGGAGGGAAGGGAAGGTAAAGGAGCCTTATAGAGGGAAGAGGTTTTGAAAAGTTTTTATGGGGAGAATAGGTGGTCAATTGGGAAGAATGAAAACCTAATCTTGTTGCCAAGGGGGTATAACTGAATAGCATGAATTTGACCTAGAGCTGCAGGAAAGCCTAAACTCAATTCTATCTTTCTAGGCAGGGTCTTTAGGATTATCAATATATGCATCAGCTCCATGCCACGCCTTTAAGATCATTATGGATAGGAAAGAATCCCCTGGAATGCTTCTAAGACCTGAACTTACTGAATATGACTACTAGAACTTGACAGGCTCATGTGAAATGTCTGAATCACTACATTTTACAGATCCTCTTGCAGTATAAGAATTTTGGCACAGTTATTGAGCTGTAGATTTTTAAAACTTTCTGTGTGGAAGTTATTAGAACAATTATCTAAGTTAAAAAAATCCTATCATTATCAGAAATATTTTTGAAAAATGTTATCAAAAAGTTAAATGGTATTTGTTAAAAGATAGCAGCATTATTTAACTGTGAAAAAAGTGGAAGTTAAATGCTCCATAATTGGGTATGGCTCTATAAACTGTGATATATCAATATAAATGTTATGTTATAAAAATAATAAAGATATATGGAAACACAGTAATAAATGAAAATAGACAGGTATACACACATATTATGACTATGTAAAATGAAACCACATATACTAAACAAGATTCAATGTACAAAATCAATGAAAGGGACCAGTGGGAGGGACTGATAAGCTGTATGAAATAAGCTTTTAGAAATTTAGTTGATTTCATAATTAAAGCTAACAAATTCAGAACTAATCAAATATTAATATATCCTTGATTATTTCAGTATCTAGTTAGGGAAAAAAAAAGATAACAGCCTCCTCTCTAATGAGGATGTGGCAATTACTCTAAAGGAAATTCCCAAAGGAGTTGCAAAGATGGTTAGCAGCTGGAGTTTCATTCATATTTATATCTTAAGTGCCTAACATTGTGTTGGTACCTAGCAAGTTCTGAATAAATACTTGATTCCAAGGTGATAACATTTGGAAATTTTGGTGATTACCACTTGGAAGTATCAGTTCTGATGTTTTGTTTTTAAAGCCTTGGTCAAGAAAATATGATCATCTCTGACATGTATGGGGCTGTGTAACCCTGGGCAAATCATGTATCCTAAGTACACCAGGCAGCTAAAACTCTTAAAGTTGAGAAATTATGATCTAGGGAGAGAATCTGGAACTCAAAAAGAGTTAAAAAAATTTTTTTGTATGTAACTGGGAAAAAAAGAAAACATCAAAAGAAAAATAAAAACTTCAAAAAAACCCCTTAGTAACTTTGATCAACAATTTGAAAGGACTCATGATGAAAAATACTATCCATCTCTAAAGACAGCTGATGAACTCTGAGTACAGATTGAAGCATATTTTTTTCTTTTTTTGGGGAGGGGGGGCAACACAGCTAATATGGAAACACTTTGCATGACATCCTATGTATAATGGGCATTACATTGCTTGCTTTCTTAATGGATAATGGAGGGGCCTGAAGGAGGGAATTTGGAATAGAAAATAAAAATCCCTAAAACAAAAAAAAAGCTTTCTGCATTGTTAAAAAAATATATATTGTGACCTGCATCAGTAGGAGCTTCCTCACCAGGAATTCTTTACACCAATGAAATTATAGGTCTGGACTAAAACAAAAAGCAAGCAAAAATCTTTACATTCCCAACCTCATACATTTGCTCCCTACTTTAATTTGATAATCTTGGGTAATTTTTCTCTGAGTTCGTTAGCAAGAAAATGTGGAAACCATTGATTTACTTTAAAAGACTGCTCTAAGAAAATAAATCCTCAAAATATTTTCAACAGGCTGTTCTGTGAAAATTATTGCAAAATTTTAATTTCCTTAGTGCTTTACTCAACACAGATGACATTAATAAGGAAAAAAAAAGATGCAAAATTTCCTCCACCTTTTCAAGTCAAATTTAAAATATCTAAGTCTTACATCAAGCAGCATTTTATGTTCAGTAGCATACAACTCTTTGTGACCCCATGGATCTGGGGTTTTCTTGGCAAAGATACTGGAAAGGTTTGCAATTTCCTTCTCCAGTGGATTAAAGCAAACTGGAGTTAGTGACTTGGCCAGGGTCACACTCTTAAATGACTGAGGTCTACAGTTGCTAGTAAAATCACAATCTTGCTAATACAAATAGCCCTGGCATTAAAAAAGTCTAAATTGCTAGTTAACCTAGAGGCAACTAGTTCTGTAGGTCTTTTCTGACATTTATCATGTGCTACATACACCTTGTTGGCAATTATATGTCAGTGTATACTTAACACTATGTTCCTTAAGGATATTTGTATTTAAAATAGTGTCTTGCATATACTAGGGGCTCAATATTTGTCAAACTGAATCTACATTTATTCCAAGATGTACAAGTAGACTCCGATTAAAACTGTTAAGGTTTTAAAAGATCTTTATTGAATAAAAAGTTACCTGCATTTAAATTTTCTCTTGGCTATCTTAACCAGACCAACCACATAAGCTTCTCTAAATAATTATAAATCATAACTTAGAATTAACACCCTGCCATAGAGAGGTCTTCAGCATACAAAATGTTTAAGTCAAGTGTAACACAAGTTCACAGATTAGTATGGGTTGTCATCAAATAGGAAGTTTTTCAGGAGAAAAAAAAATCTAATTCAGATGTACTTGTGGCTTATTTGTCCCTATAAAAGAAAATCCTAATAAACATTATTTTTGATAAATATACAAAACTCTTGCTTACAGTAGGATAATTTATATGGTTCTATTTCTAAGCACATTTTAATATTTCCCAATTAAAAAGAGGGGATGGTATTTAGGGGAAGGTGTCTGGAGGTTGAAGTGAGGATCTAGAAGTATACACTTTATCTTTTTGTTTTCAATTAGAGGCACACACAAGAAAAGAGGGTGGAAATGAAGTGGTCCAGTTTGTTACAAAAGCATAAAAATTAGCTGCTAAATTGAAAAGGAAAAATTGGTTTAAAGCTGAGCAGACATTACAAATAACGGTGTGACACAGCACGCAAACTACTCCTTTACAACGCAGTGACTAATGATAACAGGATGAAGTTAACTGTTACACATGGAGTTGAAATTGGAAAACAGTAAGCAAAATTGTTCTAAGGATTTTACACTTTAATCTATCTAGTAACGACCATTCAAAATTTAATGTCTAATTATGAAAATGAAGCAAGAAGGGTGTAATTAAAGTTTCACTAATGAGGTCCACTTTATGTCACTTTCAAGTGATCAGAATAAAAATAATTATACTACTACAAACTTGGATTTACAAACATATAGCATGACATATACACACATTGAACCTAATGGCTTGTTTACTGAAGAAATAAAGGCATGGGGTACACAGATTGTAGGGGAGGGGCATCACCACATTGAGAATGGAAAGTTACAAGGGGCATAGTTAACTTAATACATTACCAAATACCACTACCATTATGCAGCTGACTAGCCCTAAAAAATCTTAGGCTAGAGTCCTGACTTCATTCCAGCTTTCTTTACACCATATCACTTGATCAAATGATCCAAATCTTTATTTGTTCAAATTAACAAACCATTAGGTTTTCTATAAATCAGTTTAATTTAGTCATAACAAGTTACAAAGTTGTGTGGTCTTAAAATTAAACTAGATTTATACATGTCAAATAAAATTCCATAATCAACTGCCCCTCTAATGATTATCAAGCATTAAAATTTTCAACTCCAACTTCAAAATTGGATATGGACAATTTGAGCTCATCACAGTGTATAAGTTTAAATACAACACTTTGAGCCTGTTAACTTAGACTGTATTAAGTTTCTAGCATTTCCTACTTCTTTCTGGACATAAATTTCTGTAATTAGTTGACCTTCCCGTCTTATAATCAATTTTAAAAAATGACTTTTTCTGACAGGATCATAAAGTTAAACCTTAATTTAGGACAAAACACATACATACTAAGGGTATAAATAGACTGATGTCTACCCACTAGCATGAGCTGTTTAGGTGATGCAATAGGGACTGGACCCAATTTTGTTGGTAGAAAACTTCTAAGTAAGGAAATTCCCCTCTACCGATGAAGGCTGGCACTTTCTCTGTAACTTATGGTCTTAGAGAGTAGCCTAGAGTATTGACAGATTGCAACTTGTCCCAGGTCACACAGCTGCCATGTGTGCAAGGTGGGTCTTAAACCCAAGTCTTCTGGCTTAGAGGCCAGCTCTCTATCCACTATCCTTTGAGTTGAACTGCTTATAAATTGTATTTTTCAGCAGTGTTGGTATTCAGAGATTCTGTCACCTGTGTGATGCTCATTTACCGATTTCTGCACAACACACCCAAACTCACAAACTAAAATACTTAATTTAGATATCCAGGGGACAATGAAACATAGGCAGATGTTGCTTTAAAGGATTTTATTTATAATAGAATCCTATGTGCTGCAAATGCTACAACGTAGAAAAAAAGACTAGGGTAGGGTTTTAAATGGAATTTCAAAAATAAGCTAATATCAATTTCAGAAACAATTATAGACTTGAATATGATATAAACTATTAAAATCTCTTAAATTAAACCAAATAAGTGATTTCTAATCATTCTGGGTAAACAAGAATACGATGACTGAAAATGTCTAATGTGAAAATTAAAACAACGAACTGAGGGATTTAGTGCTTTTGAAAATAAGCCCAGACTACATATGTAATACAAAATATTTCATATTCTTTAGTAAATATTCTCACTTATCATGCAGTACCACTTTTGAAATGCATAATCTCTCCTTATCTGAATTCTAGCCATACTAAACTGTGGACACCAATTTTAGTATTTTGTGATGTGTTCAAATGTAGCCATGAGTTAAAAAGGTAACCTACTAGGACAGAGCCCATTAGAAATGTAGTTTCTGCTACCATCTTGACCTATAAGATCATATCTGTACATAATTGGTATTTTTGTCACCATCTAGCATTAAAAATCCCTGCACTTGATAAGCAAACACTAGTAAATACTTCAGTACTGTGTATATGAACCAGAGTTTGTCTTAATGAATTACTAAAACAGATATAACAACTGTTTTCAATCAAGATTAAGAACAAAATGATTAAGTTTGCTGATTAATTTTTTTTCTCGGTAATTTGTGGAGTGAATTAAAAGAATCTAGTCACCAGTATTTAAATTTACATAACTAATTCTCTGCTATTTGAAAAGTAGGAAGCTGAAACTCAACCTTCATGTTCTTGACTCCATACCTAGGAAAGAGAGACCCTGACTTAAGTTTTTATTTGTCCTTCATAATCCTAAAGGTTAATGTCCATTTTCATTAAGTAAAAGCCTTATTACACTGGTGTAGTCATTACTCCTGTTATAATATATAGGCTTTGTTCCTTAATATCAGCAATGCTCTATATAGCCACTACATACAAAGAAGACATGATCTGACCATCAATAAAACAACCCACAAAGCATTAAGGCGCTTTATGCCAGGTTCTTACCATGAATTGCTTTTTTTGGTTCAATTCTAGGTTTTTTTTGGGGGGGTGGGGGTGGATAAATTTTGCCATGATTTTATTTTAATACCCTTAAGTAATTATTTATTAATGTAGTAAGTGAAAAGTAAATTGCAAAAGGAAGCTTTCTTAGCTAGATGATTAAGTACAGTACTTTGGATTGTTCAAGAAGGATATTGTATGACTATCCCTAAGTTTTCAGAGCCAAAGCCATCTAGTACTGTGGTTACTTATTGACAGCTTGGCTAAAGTTCTTAAAAATTCACTACTGCAAAAGCTAAACCTAACAATCTTCCATAATGGTTTAAAAGAAAATTATCACTTAGGCTGTATGACAAAAACAGATATGCAGATACACTTTGATATGCTAACACGACTGCAATTTATCAAAAGACACGTAAGATCAATTCTTATGTATTCAAGAGTTATTAAAAAATTAATGTTTTGGCCAAGCCATATTTATAAACACAAGTTGACAATGCAAAATAGTTGCATAACTAATAATGCTAGACAGCTATGATATGGTAGGTTCAAGTTAATCCCACCTGTCCAAAAATAACAAAAAACAAAACCCCTAAAAATACTTAGCCAGTATAAACCTGTAGTATTTGCCTAAATTTCAATACTTACTATAATCATTGTTCTAATATTTAAAATCGCATCTAAAGGATAAGGCATAGCCATCTACTAATTGGCATATTTGTTTATTTCTCATTTAGTGAAAATGTCCTTATTTTACTTAAGTTGCAAAACAAATTTCAACTCTTGATTGCTATGCAAAAGAAAGGACTGAAGGTATCTGCTTTGCAATGAACTTTACAGTTCTCAACCACCACCACCCCCCAATACACAACATGCTATATGAAAAAAGTTACTAACTGAACTACAGGTATTAAATACTGAAAAAGTTAACAGTTTATTATAATTTATTTTATTTAACAATCTAGGAAGTTCGCAGCCATCAGCAATTCCAGTGCAATTTCAGGTGCAATTGGGAATTCAGGAATCTCTGTAGAGCTGTTAGTGTAGCGAACCTTGTAGGTAAAATACATGCATACTTTTGATAGCACATGTGATGGAATTTCTCTAAAATTAACTTCATTGGTTTCATTTTCAGCAAACTGACCTGCAAAACAAAAATAATACAGTTAACACCTAGAGATAGCCAACATTAAACTAAAGTATTCACATAATTCAAGCTAAAGAAGGTAATCAAGACCATAAAGATAATATTCCACCATGTTTGTATAACATAACGGGATGGTTGGTCAAGGTGGTTTAGTGGAAAGAATACTAGGTGTGAGAGCCAGGAGGCCTGGGTTCAAATCCAGGCTCTGCTCCTTACTAGCTTGGTGACTCTCGGCAGGTTATTTAACTTCTCTGGGCTTCAGCTGCCTCATCTTAAGAATTAGATACTTTCCTGCCTCATAACTATAATCCCATTCTTATAAACTGGTTGGCAGGTCGCAGAGATACCTTATTTTTTGCCTTTTTTTTTTTTTGTGAGGCAATCAGGGTTAAGCGATTTGCCCAGGGTCACACAGCTAGTAAGTGTCAAGTGTCTGATGTCGCATTTGAACTCAGATCCTCCTGACTCTAAGGCCGGATCTCTATCCACAAAGCCATCTTATTTTTAAAGCTCTTTTTAGGGAATGAAATCCTAAAACTTTCCTTTGTAGTTTAGTTCAAGTATTTAATCACGATTAGTGATCTACCTTCATAAACCATTTGTTCAATGCAGTGTTCATATAAATATAAAGTCCACTTCAAAGCCACCCATTAGCTTTCTCTTTTTCAGATTAAGCCACTCAACCACTTTAGTTTTTCCTCACAGGCATTTTCAGGACTACAGTGTGAACTGTTCTATACTCATTACTTGAGGCATGTAAACCTTTTTAGAGAAATTAGTGGAAATGTTACTTTGAAAGCATGCATGCTACAATCTCTCCACTATCGTTACTGTTCAATTTGATGGATGGTGAGGGCTCAGCAAACAAACAATATGGTATTCAGCTCTACTTGTCCAGGACACTACAATAATCCCATGAGGTCACAAAGAGTTGGACCTAGCAAAGAACTGAACAACAAAAGATTTGTAAAGTGCTTCACATACATATATTATCTCATTTAGTTTTTACAACCACCCTAGAAAGGGTGCTATTATTATCCCCATTTTATAGAGGAAGAAACAGATTAAGAAGTCATTTGCCTAGGGTCATAGCTGCTAAATATCTGAAGTAGAATTTGAACTCCTACCTCCCTAAATGTCTCCAAATATACCTACTTCTTCCACTGTATTCTCTGGAATGCCTGCTCCAGTTAACTTGCTTTCATCTTAAACCTTTTCCTCTAATATTCTCTTGCTCTCTCCATCTTTAGGCTCCTTCCTGATGACATAACATCACTGGCCACCCTTTCTAATACCAGCTGCACTTTTATGCATACCCCACCAACTTGCTGGTCAAGGCGGGGTAGGGGAAGGAAAATCAAAATACTTTATGCTCCCCAAGGCCACTTCCAGATTTTTCTCTCTACAACCATCACTCAGCAACCTCTCCTCTTTTGTAGTGCATTCAATCCAAATTTGTCACCCAATCAGGTTATAGTAGCTGTAACCTACGGACTTTCAGAGTTCAGTGCTAAGCTCATAGTCTTTTCCCACTCCAACTCCTGCCCTCATACTAGGAGACCTCAACCTAACTTTCTAGTTCTTCAATCTACTGAGTTCCCATGACCCATTTATTCTCTATACCTCAGTTACACCCAGTGGTACCCTTGATTGTGCCATCATATCTGTAAGTTTTCCACTTCCATGTTCATGAACTCCAAAATTCCTTTTTTTGATCATCTTTTATCAGTCTATCTTTTCTTCTGCTTATGATCTACAACCTTATTCTTCATCCTCACCATAACTCCTACCACTTGCACAATGTAAACTCCTACAGGGCAAGAACCATTTAAATCTTGCCTCTGTATCCCCAACGCATAATACACAGTCCCTTGAATATGTCCTACATAAGTAAATTAATGCTTAATAAATTAAATGAATACTCAGTCTTAAACTGAGGATCAGCATAGATACAATGCTTTCCTTTAATTAACTTAAACTTACATTGGGCTTTTTTTTTTAAATCCCCAAATAACAAAAATTCATACTGAGATGGGATATACACACACACACACAAACCCAGTATTTTAAAAATTTTACAAATTATCTGACAAAACAAATATGCACAGTACTTCTGTTAACAACTAAATTTTAAAAAAACTATCAAGGGCTAACATATACTTCCATACATACCTGGGCCACTTAACATGGCTTTTATTGTTCCTGATGTTAAAGCATGCTCTCTTTTTACAATAAATTCATGACCATCGGAAGATATCAATTTCACATACATAGCATCCGGGCCCTCACACCCGCCGTATGTTTTCTCTTCTCCATCTAAAATAAAACCAATGTTAAAATATCTTTATAATTACATTGTTGTTAAATTGAAAGACATGTTATATTTTATTCATTAATGTTTGAAAAATATTAAAACACTATTTGAAATTTGGGGCACAACATTCTGGATGTATCTATAGAAATTTAATAAAAAATTTACACAGAAAAATCTATAGATTTATACTGGAATATTAATACCTTTCATTTTTTAAAAATTGATGTTCTGCTTAAGTCATCTCTTTTCGCAAAATTTGTTAATGAAATGAATGTAAATTTTCAAAGGCAAAACTCATATTAAAACAAACTAGTACTTATAAACAGTGTTAAGTTGGGGGTGGGGGGTTTCACAAAATCAAAAAGTTCTCTGGAAAGAGTTAATACCAATAATCTTATTTCCTTTCAAGTTTCATATATAATTAGGACTCATAACCTTGTTTTAATACATAGGTTTGCTATTGGTCACTTTAAGGTAAGGTCTAACAACATGATAACTTTAAAATGATCTATTTTAAACACCAACAGCATTATTTGCACTTTAACTCAGGATATTATAGATAGAAATTATAAAAGACACATGAGCATCTTCCAGAAAAACACCAGGCAACTGATTAATCCCAAATGGCAGATAGCACTGGGTTGGTATAATTTCACTCCTGCTAAAGCCTCTTCAAGTCTGGTGCTCCATGGGTGGCATGTGTGAAGGTAAAGCAGGGGTACTTTTTTTATATTCAAGGTTTCATTAACTGGCATTTTTCATTCCACTTACAGAGATTTAACTCCTGAATCTGAAAAATTGTCATTTTCCCAACCATATTAAGATCATAGGTTTAGAATTAGAAAAAAATCTTTAGAATTTGAAAAAAGATCATTGAGTCTGCCTCCTCATTTTACAGATGAAAATATGGAGGCCCAAAACAGTTATTTGCCCAAGGTCACACTAAGGTCCTTTGACTTCAAATCTGGCAGTCTTTCCACTATACCACACTTAAGCCTTACAGAGTATCAATCCTCTTCCAAAGAAATAACTTATCCAACATTATTTAATCCTAAACAAGAGGCAATAGGTGGTCAATCTTGAACTAAGGAATACTGAAGTTCAAGCTGGCCTCAAATACATACTGGTTGTGTGACCTGGGCAAGTCCAGGAGTGGGGAAGCTGCAGCCTCAAGGCCACATGTGGCCCTCTAGGTCCTCAAGTGTGGCCCTTTCACAGAACAAATCCCGTTAATAAAAAGATTTGTTCTGTAAATCTCAGACTCAGTCCGAACCCAAGGACCTAAAGGCTGCAGGTTCCCCACCTCTACCTAAACTCCTCAGTGCCTCAGAAAACTTTCTTAAACTACAAGCTGAATCACAGCTGCTGGCCAGCACTGGCAGAGAAAGTTCAAATCACCATTATTTACAACAATGAAATCATAGCTCTGGACAAAAATAGAAAAAGAAAATACCACCACCAACAACAAAAGAAACCAAAGCCTTAGATACATTCAATTTTAAATGTGAAATACATATTTGTGAAACTGATGGTTGCTCTATTATAAATGCATTTGATTATAACGTAGAGTTAAATTTCTCTTGATTTAGTCAGAATTGTAGAAAAATCTAAGTTTTTAGCACTAAACTATTGAAAAGAAAAAAAATGATAAAATTGTTGGTAATCATTATCTCATGATTAAGTTTACAGAGGATCTAAATTTTAGTTTGTCAAGGGAAAAGTGCTTAAAGTTATGCAGCAATTCTGGACCCTAGAAGTAATCACTGTGGTAGAATGTTTATTTTTAGAGCTAAGAATGTTTTGAAAGAAAATTGTTTTAAGTTGTCGCTTAGTCCTATAACTAAGAATCAGAGAACCTCTGAATTGGAAGAGCCCTTTGAGATGAGGATGCTCTTTCCACAATGTGGTGTAAACCTTAAAATGAAGTGTGTGAAATTTGTGGAAGAATAAACACCTTGCTTCCCCCACTTCTATACTTTTAATAATAGTAGCCCTTGCTCAAACTCCTACATGCCTGGAAAAAAAAATTCATTAATCTCTCCCCTAGAGTTACAATAAGAATTTCCATTTATTTTTAAGCCAAAAACTCAAAAAGCTCAAAAAATGAATCAAAAAAAAAAAGACCAATATTTTCCCAATAATGTATTGTAAAAGTCCTCATAAAAAAGTCATCTACCCTGTCTGGATTGTGGAAAAACAAATGTTAGCTTTCCTTTTAAAAAGGTTTTTTTTTGGCCTGCTATTATTCTGCTCACTCTCTTCCTACTTGATTTAATCTACTTTAAAGAAAAAATTGAAAGAAAAAAGATTGTACTCATACTTTGTAACGCTTTAAGTACTATATAAATGTGAATTATTATGAGCTATCATTAAGAGTTAAAAAGCTTCATTACCTTTATAAAAAACTTACCCATTATTTCCTTATGAAATTATATTTTGTTTCCACAGGAATTTTAACAAAACACCTTCCTGAAAAGCCAGAGTTTTAAAGTTAATATCTGAGATCAGTATTTCTACAATTATCATTAATATTATGAATTAAAATACCACTAATTACATAATACACACTTTGGAAATATGGACTACCTAATCTCATTTCTGCATACCAGAGAAGGTACCTTTATGAATATGGTGGGCATTAAAATATTTCTAGTCAGATAATTGTTAGAGTTGAAATAATCTAGCTAACTAAAATAATTTGAACTAAAAGGATCAAATCAATTGAATACATTTAATAAGCACGTACTATGTACAATATACTAGGAATACAAAAGCAGAAAGTGAGACACTCCCTGCCCCAAAGGAGTTTACATTCTACTTGGTAGATACAAACATGTACACAGATAACCTATGAATGACTTTTTAAAAAATTACTAAATTACTATGTATCAGAATTGTGTAAAGTGGCAAGGATGCAAATAAAACAAGCAAGCTGGTTCTTCCCCTCAAGGAACTTACATTTTAATAAGGCACAACACGCACCACACACACACGCACACGCATTGCCAGGAAGGAATATTTTGGTCAGGGAAATCATAACAATGGTTGAGTTATTGTTCCCAGAGACTGGGTAGAAAGCTGGGGTGCTGGCGACAGGTGTGTGTGTGTGTGTGTGTACGTGCGCCCCCCTGCAAGAGCTAGGTGGGCCGAAGACTGTCAGGCTAAGGAGTTAGTGTTTCATCCTAGAATTGATAGGGAGCTACTTAAGACTTCTAAATAGGAGAGTAATATGGTCAATCTGTGCTTTAGTAACACTGACAATCGTGTGGAAAATGGAGTGATGAAGAGAAGCACTGTAGTCAGGGAGACTAATTAGGAGGCAATCACAATGATTCAGGACTTGAATTAGGGTGATGGTTAACTCAAATGTGAGAGATGGGGACTGGTGTGAAAATACAGAGATACAATTCTAGAGTAGTTAATACTACCCACTAAAAAAGCCCCACTGAAGGACTATGTACCACAAAACTGTTTGCACCTCCGGAGGTCCAGCAAAAACATCTGCGGAAAAAAGGCCAGAAGCTAAAAACAACAGCAACAGCAAAAACAAACCCCACATTATTTAGGATGATTAGTGAAGGGGGTTGGACACCACCATCATAATATTAAATTTATTTGTATTATGATCTTCAAAGTAAAGACATAATGTAATCAACCATCCTTTCCCCTTGTTCTCCCAAATACTTCCTCCAAAAATGTTTTTTTTTTTGGTACGGGTTATGACATTTGCCACACACCAAAGGAATAAATCTTTAAAACTGTCACTTGATAAACACATTTGTAAAAAAAAAATAAATTAAAAAAATCCATAAATCTTGAAATATTCTAATTTTAAACCAAAAATGATTAATTTCCTTCTTTCTCCCCAACCTACTGCAAGACATTAGGGCCTACATTATCTATTTGTTGTTTTCCCTTGGAATACTATCTACCAAATATTTCAATTTTGATGGAAAACAATCACTTTACACAGCATTACAGGAAACTTCTTCTATAGGGTAAACAAGTTTTCTAGTTTTTACCACACTAGTGTGCAGAAAGGACCAAGAACATTTAAAGAACGTATATGTGGTCTTACTCAAGGACCCTATGTCAGAAGAAAAAAAGTAGGTGAAAGGACTAATCTTGCCCATTTCTTGTGAAACTGTCTATATCTATTATACAACCATACATTTTTCCTCTCTCTCACCTTTTGAGCTAAGTAATGATTGTTTCAGAGGGATAAAGATTGTGATTTCACTGATATAGGAACTCCCAGAAAGGGAAACTCCTCCTTGCAACTTACAGTCGTAAACTTGGCTAGTATATTGAGAACTTAAGCGACTTGCCTAGGGTTACGGTATGTGTCAGAGGCAAGATTTGAAGCCAGGTCTTCCGGGCTTTGAGGACAAATGGACCCTCTATCCACTATGCCATCTTAATCCTTGATGAACAGCTTATTACATGTCAGGTAACAGGTGTTGGAGATACAAAGACAAAAGTGAAACAGTACTTGCCCCTCAAGGAGCTTACCTTCAATTGGGGAGACAACAATCTGCACGTATAAATGTCTGACAATTGCTGAAGAAAGCATGAAAGCACAATTAACGTCTAAAAATGTCCTACGGCACTCTCAGCAAGACAACTCATGCAATACAGTTCTCAAAGGCTTTCCTTTGACCGCAAAGGAAGCAGGAAGACTTCAGTTCTATGCTTTAAGAGTGAAGTGTAAATAAACCACTGAAGAAGAGAATGTTAAGTTGGAAAGGACTGTGAAAAGAAAGGAAAAGCATTAATGCAAGATTGTCTCTGAGCTTATATTCCAGTAGGGGGAGACAACACACACAAGAAAATGGTAGCCAGGGAATGAAGAGTTCAATTTCATTCTTGATTTAACTAACTTCAAAGTCACACAGCAAGCGGAGAAAATGAAACTAGAATCCCTATCTGAATAAGCAACAAAGTTTATCAGAATATTTTTTAGAAAAGCTTTATTACTAATAGATTAAATCTCAACATGTTCCAAAATGTTCAGATTTATTGCTCAAGTCAACAAGTGACTGTGCAAATCATTGGGAAACAGAAAACAAAGTTAGGTAAAGGGGAAGTCCCTAATTTCAAGGAGTTCATCCCCTAGAGCAGGGGAACCTACTGCCAGGTCCCATGTGGCCCTCTAGGTCCTTAAGTGTGGCTACTTCATTGAATCCAAACTTCACAGAACAAATCCCTTTAATAAAAGGATTTATTCTGTAAAACTTGGACTTGGTCAAAAGACCATACCCAAGGACCTAGAAGACCACATGTAGTTTCGTGGAGGCTGCAGGTTCCCCACTCCTGAACTACAGGAAAACAGGCATCACACAATAACTACAATGGTGAGCTTTTTTTGGGGGGGGGGAAGGGAAAGGATCAGGAAGAGTCTTATAGAAGAAAAAAATCTACATAAGGCTTTAAAGGATGGGGAAGAATTTAACTTGGTGAGGGTGCAAGTATACTGTTTGTAGATAGCATCAATTCCTTGATATCCCTACAGGAACTTCTTAAGATTCATAGTCAAATGATATTTCATCTACTAAGTGAATGAAGAATGCATACTGATCCCACGATAGGAAGTTAAATGGGAATCAGTACAAATTTTGATCATGTACTATAGGTGGACAATAAATGAGAATCTGTTACTGAACAGGAAGAAGAAAAAAGAATTTACTGCATTTGGTGAACTGTATGGCTTTTTTCAATATTCCAAAGCTACCTCCTGATGCAAAAACCTATTTTCCCAGTGATGTTACATAGCTGGAAATCAGAGTATCATGCTCTCAGAAGACTCAAAATCACTGATAACCCAAAGGGCAATGGAAAGACAGAGTCAGTATTTTCATATTGGGCTGCATCACATTAACAATTACTTATGTGAAAGTAGCATAAAAAACATTAAGAGAACATAGAAAACAATGTAGGTGCGTCACATAGTGAGGATGGTGAGTCTTATATGCACTGATGGAAAAGAAAGAACAAGAATTAAAACTAAACACTGTAATTATAGTTAGCAAGCTTGGCCCCAAAGAAGAAATAAGAAAATTCACCTCCCTTCTTTGTAGTGGGGAATATCTATGTATGTAGAACACCATATGTACTGTCCATGGGATTAATTTAGAATTGGAAGTGATTTCAGGTATCAAGTCTGACCCCCTCATACTACTGATGGGGAAGCTGAGGCTCAGAGTAGTTAAGTGACTTGTCCAAGGACACACAGGTATCAAGTGGTCAAGTCAAGATTTAAATTATTCCCCACCCCCTCTTATTTATTTTTTATAAGAGATTACTCCAAGTGGAGTAAGGGGAGGAATACAAAGATAATGTAAAAACAAAAAATATATATATAAAAATAACAAATATCAATAAGAATTTTAGAAGTTTCAAATGGGTACTTCTCTAAGAATAAATAAGGTAGAATGCAAAAAATGCTGAATTCTGAGCAGAAATCCTACATTAAAATCCTAGCTCTGTCACTTATTACTTGACCTCTCTAAGCATCATCTCCCACAACTGGTAAAATGAAAGAGCTATACTAAATGACTGCTAAGGTCCTCTCTTTCCCTTGATCTATGATGTTATCTGGAATAATTACTTAGGAAAAAAAATTAAGTTATACTTAACTTAGATGGTAACCAAACAACTATCCAAATCACATCTTGCAAACACCTTATGACAGCTGTCGTTTCTTCGCACTTAATAACAATATCTGTTTGATGTATTTTAATTGAGAGAATAGAACTAAAGTAAAATTTGAATAGTTACAAACAAAAGTTTGAATAATTACAAATTCCAGTAGCCCAGGAAGTAGTTAAAATTAGAATATCTGAAAAATGTTTAAGTTCAAATTCAAGTTCTTTCCCCCTTGTATAAAAAGGATAAAATACAAGTGTACAAGAGTCTATTCTGCCATTTACGAATTTAACCTAAGCTTTAATTTCTTTATCTGAAAACCAGGCTATGTGTATGACCTACTTCAAAAGTTGTTAGTAAGGATCAAGCGAGAAAATACAAAAAGTGTATTGTAAGAACTATCTTTAATAAATAAAACATTATTTGTACTTCCTATACATTAAGAACAGTGTTAGCTTTGAGTAAAAATAAAAGTATGTGGACTGGAGTCTTGAGGCACTTATAATCTATGAAGGGGAGATACACATATACAAGTAAATATCCTACCAGGTAGAGTCTGATAAGAGCAAAGGAGATTAAAAAAAAAAAGAGCAAAGGAGAAACAAAGTGCTTACACACGCAAGCACACCCATACGTACAAAAACACTTCATGACTGCTATTGTATATATGTATGTATGTATAAAAGTTACACATGCTAATATAAGGCTGTCAGTTTTGAATGGGGTCCAGAGGGCCTGATCTCCATTGCCCAGGAATATCTGTTTGTTTGTGGCTAGGCAATGGGGTTAAGTTACTTGCCCAGGGTCACACAGCTAGTAAGTGT